TTTTGCAGAAACAGAGGTTCTTCAAGACTACGGATTCAAAAAATTCTCAAAGACTATGCGTAGATATATAGCAACTGCTGCACCTGTACTTTCATGTCAAAATCACTGTGCTGTATTGAGTGCAACCTAGAAAGCAGCTTTAGTTAGCAGCTCTTCATCTCAATTGTTTTGGAGTTTACACCTTTTTGCCTAGTGGATGTTTACATAGGTTAGGTTGTTACCTACTACAGCATCCAAATATTAAGCTCTCCTTGATACCTGGCAGTACCTTTAAGTGTCATGTAATTATTTTTATCCCATTCTCCCCATTCTTTGGTAGAACAAAAGTGCAGAGCAGAAAAAGCACAAGTACAAACCAAAGTTGTGACACACTTTCCCAGGGGACTCCAACATCTGCCCGAATTCCTTCACCACCACCCAATTTGCAAGGTCTTATATGAATAGGAGGATTGAAGAACTAGAATTCCTCACGGCCTCCCTCCCCCCCCCACGCCCCCTTACGGGTCTGGGGCCCAGGGTCCTTTATTGTCTTAGGGAAAAGAGTTCCTGTAAACAGCTGTCCTCTACATTAGACTCCAGCGGAGCTGCCTTAGCGCCATCCCACCGGTTTCCTACGGAGGGGGAAGGAAAGGAAAAAAAAACCCCACAAAGCCGTCCTCCCGCCCCGCATTGGGCCTAGGCTCCGTTTCCCGGCCCCGCCAAGGCCTTCGCCGCTGCCTCCCTCAGGCGCGCCGCGCTTGGCGAAGGAGTCTCAGCCGCAGCCGCCCCCTCCTCCTCCTTCTTTCCTCCCCTCCACCTCCCCGGGGCCGGCCGGCCGCGCGCGGAGCGAAAAGGGAAGGGGCGGCTGGCGTGCGGCCTTGCAGCGGCGGCCGAAGCCTGCGCTCGAGTAGTTTAGCTCGCCCTCCCACACTTTAGTTGCTGCCGCCGCAGGGCCTCTCAATGTGGGGACTGCGGCGGGCGAAGAGGTCGGTACCTGGTAGGGCTGCGAGTCCCCCTTGCGGTCGTGACAGCTGGAAGAGAAAAAGAGAGAGGGACAGAAACGCAACGTTAGCGAGCGACCGTTACTGGCGGTTGGCATCGAGGGACAGAGGCGCAGTCGGGGAGGGCGGGACGCGAAAGGGGTATTTACCCATCATTGAGTCTTTGCTGTTTCCTCGCATACATTACCATCAATGCCCGGCCTGTGTGAGAGANACCCATCATTGAGTCTTTGCTGTTTCCTCGCATACATTACCATCAATGCCCGGCCTGTGTGAGAGAGACTGAGGGGATCAGGAGGGCGCGGCCGGGCCACGGGCGCCGCCGAGGGGGGAAGGGGAAGCAGCGCTCCGACCGGGAACGGGGAAGAGGAGGGGAAGGGAGGGAGGAGGGGCGGCTCGGGCAGCTCGGCTGTGAGAGGAAGCGGCGCTCACGGGCCCATCTCCTCTCTCCACACCCGCGAGGAGAGGCGGCGCCGCAGATCACGCACACAAGAGGAGCGCGGAAGACGACGACGTCCCCGCCGCCCCCGCGGTCCGCCTTCGCTCTCCCGCCGCTGCTGCTGCCGCCGCCTCCCCCCCTCCCTCAGCCACTGCTCCCAACACTACCGCCGTCCGATTACATCCGGGAAACTGGGACGCCACCGCCTTCGCTTACCGTCGGCTGTGGTCGGCTCTTTCCGACCAAACTCCTCCCCCCCCCAATGTTGTTTTTTTAATATCAACCTTCCTCTTTCTTAGGGCCTAAGCCCCGCCTACCTCCCCTCACAGATTCTGAGCGCCTCTCTTCCGAAAGGCATCGGTGGTTTCCGTTCAGTGCCGGAAATTCCTTGCTTGTGCTCGCGCTCTCGGCTCCCGATTCAGAGTCGGCGCCTTCGGAAAACATCGGAGATTTCCGTCAGGCCGACGGCCTCCGCTTGGATGCGATCTCGGTTTTTTCCGGCGCTAGATGTTTTCCCCCTCGGTCTGCCGATCTGCTGTTCTTTCGGCTGTTTCCGTAAACGAAACGACCAACGCCTCCGATCGGCACTTTCCGTGACTCTTGTAAAAGCTACTCCCGAGAACGCCCCAAAGTGCCGCGAGCAATCCCTGGCCACTGATTGGCTGAGGCCTCTCCTCTCGTTCGCCTCCCTCAACTTTAAATGCGTTGCCTGCGGGAAAGAAACTCTGCAAGACGGAACTTCGAGAGGTCAGAGTGAGTTGCGGCTCGGCTGAGTATGGTAAAGTGGTAACGCCTTTGGGTAAGAGTTTGGCTTTATTTTCTCATCCTAACCCGGGACCTTTCTCTGCGGTTCTGTCCTCATTAAAGTGAGTTTGTTTTTTGCAGCCTTTGGGAAAACCGCCTGCGGGACGAGATTAAATCGAAGTCTGAAAAGAGACGCGTTGCAGCTCAGCTCGTTCGAAAAGTAAGTCCTGGTGGGTCTGCAGCAATATCTGTTTGTGGGGGTGGCAGGCATAACTTGGCGAGCTTTCCGTGCATTGCACTGCAACTAGAGTCACAGGTCTCCTGTGAGCAGGGGGTTGGACAACCACGGTCGAGCAGTTTAATGCCTCTACAAGACGGGAGTTGTAATCCAAGGAGTTTTTGATACACGGGATATTTCAAACACCGGAGGCTCCTGAATTTTAGCGGGGCTGCTCGCGAAACGTCCGCAAAGAGCCGCTGGACGCCGGCAGCGCCCCGCGCACAAGCCATGGGGGAGAGGATGAATTCCTGGGCACCTGACTGAGGTCCCACTTCTTGGAGGTTTTGCTTTGGGGAGAGGGCGGGGGAGGAGAAAAGAAGTAGAAACGCGGTATCCTTGATTTTAAGCAGTGCGCAGGCGCGGAGATAAAGTTTCTCAGCTGCGCCCCTGCGCCGGAGCTCCTTCGCGGTTTCTGGCGGCTCCTCCGAGGTACCCGGTGAACATTTCGACGGAGCCCCTGCAGCGCCCGAGACTGGCAGCCAAGCTATCCTGGGTGCGGGGTTGTCGGGGTCCAAGAGCAGGGAGGCTCGGCCTTGTCTGTGTTTGCAAGCGCTCTGGTCTTCCCTACTGTCTGCTGAGAAGACAACCGGAGGCGAGAGGGAAAAGGGGGCGGGTGTGGACCCTTGCTCACCTATGTCAGTGGCCAGAACAAGGAGGCCCATGTCTCACCACTATTGGGCAAACTCTACTGTTGCTAGTTTGCTTCAGATACAATTTAAGGTATTTACCTATCACCTTCAAACTTTCCAAAATGATTACACCTTCCAGACCAAAACATATTTTTCCCTATGCTTTTTTCTCTCTCCTTGCCTCAAAAATAGTCAAAATTAAAAGTGGCTCCTCTGGGTGGAAGATTAAGTAACAGCATGGCAGAAATTGACTTACATTGACTTACAGCAAGGTTCATTCAGTGATGGTTTAAAGTTACAACAGAACTGAAAAAACTGGTTTATTACTGTTTTTCACACAACTGTTTTGCCATCCCTATGGTCACGTGATCCAAACTGAGATGCTGGACAACTAACCATTGCAGGGTTCTAATGATTACCTTTTGTGACCTGACAAACAGAGTTAGTGGGGAAGCCAGATTCACTTAACCATGTTACTAACTTAACAGCTGCAGTGACTCACTTAAGGAATGTGGCAAGAAGAAGTTGCAAAATGGGGTAAAAGTTGCTTAACAAATTTCTCACTTAGGAACATAAATGGCTTAATTGGGGCCATAAGTCAACGGCTGCCTTTACTTCCAGCAGCTTCAACCAGCTGTGCCAGTGGTGTCGGATGATGGGAATTGTAATTCAGTAGTATCAAGGAGGTCACAAATTCTCTTCCCACTTAGTTAGATAGCAAGAGAGCTGTGCTCATGCCCAAAGAGTAGGTGGTAGTAGCATTTGCCCAATTGTGGATTGTGTGCCTGTTGTACCTTTCCTAAATCATGAGGCCTTATGTTCAGTCCCTCGCTTCATGGTCCTCTCGCGCTTAGACTACTGCAGCACACTCCACATGGGACTATTCTTTTTTTTTTTTAATAAAATTTTTATTTTCAAAGAAACACACAAACATAACATAAAAACCTTTTCAACTGCATAAAGTGTGTCGATTGGTTACAAGGTATTTCTGTGTCCTTTCCATAGTCATTTCTAGCATAATTCTTTGCAATGTTAGTCCCTTCATATTGGGCCATTTTTCCAGATTATAAACTGCCATTAAAACATCCCAGGCTTTTGCTAGGTTTCAAACAAATTCATTAAAGTTTTTCAGGTCAAAGCTTTCTCTTTCCTTCAAAGAAACACCTGTATAAACAAGATGTTTTCCATTGACCCTTTCAGTAAACAAAGCTAATAGCTTTGTATTATCAGATGTTGCCAAGCCTCTAGATGGCAGTTTTTCATCCTTACACAAGAAACAAAAACCACACAACCAAAGATGGTGGAGAAATCAACTTAGATGGAAAAACAGAAGTTTAATTCACCTTCACCAAATGCTAGTGCGACATTTAGCTTTTGGGAAGGAACATTCTTGGACTGCCATATTGATCATCTAGAGCTGGCTGGGGAATTCTGGGTCCACAAGTCTAAAGTTCCCAAGTTTGGAGACCCCTGATCTAGAGAATACTTGATGGGAAAGGGTGACTTCGAAGGGTTTGGTTCCTCAGGCACTTATAGGAATGCACAAATTGAGGGAAATTGTTTAATTCCAGAATAAATAACTTTCTTTGGGACATTCTGCCATGATGTTTGAATGAAATAAAAGTCCAGGCAGTTTCAAGCAGGATGTGATAGTATGTATCTCACATCTTCCCCTTAACACTGAAGACACATTTAATTTTGTTGTATGAAGTGCAATGACAAAGTAAAGTAAACTAACTACCAGCATGTCATATTTTATCTCCAGCTGCCAAGGACTATACATGGTCTACACAGTCTCAAACACACATACACACACCACACATATGTTTCAAACAATATCTGTTTTCCAGAGATTTGAGAACATAGTTGCATTTAATAGCCAGTATAAAGCTACAGAACAGCTTGTTGACTCTTAATTTGCAAAGCATTCAGATGCTTTATGGGGCAGGAGGGCAAGTTTCTTTTCATTGCTTTGGCTGTTTAAATGATTTTCTTTTATTATATGTCAACAAGCACTTGATTGCATTCTATACTCATGCAGAATCAGTTACACTTGTAACAATTCAGATTGCAGACTTAATATGAATTGTTAAATTAATGTGGAAGCACCTCACGTGTCAGATTTAAAGCAGAAATGGGATCCTTGGAAATTTCTAAAACTGGTTTTCTCCATCACCTTTTAAGTTTCTCTTTCAGTTTGTCTTCATATTAAACCTTATGTGTACAATGTAGGGTTGCTATGATAACAATTTTACTTTCTTTTGTTCCTGAAATGAATTTAGGAAATTGGTGAGGATATATAGCCAATAGAAGAAAGCACCCTTGTCTTCCAAAGAGGATAAAGTCAGCAGGATGGCTCAGCAGGGAACTACTCTCCAGGGCTGCAATAATGAACTTGTGAAGTATATGGAAGAGTTGTGCATGCAAAAGACAGAAGTAGACGAACAAATTGCAAAGTTGATAGCAGACAAAACTAAGATTCAAAATGAAATTGCGATGTTAACCATACAACTGGAAAGTATAAGTGAAAGTTTACTTTGGAAAAATGCAATTCAAAAGAAGCTTGATACCATTCTTGCTGAAGGAATATTCGCATATGACAAGATTTTGGACAGTTCTAAAATATTGTTAGATGTCTTGAAAAAAGAGATAGAGAATTTAGACAAACTGATAGCATTGAAAAAGATATTCAGTGAATCAATGTCATCTTCCGAATCTGACTAAGCCAATGTTAACACTGGGAAACGAATGGGTTAAGAAATGCCATCTTTTATTTTTCTATTATTTGCTTTATTAATTATTTGTCAGATAAAAAGGTGAGGACCAAATATTTTTATTTTCGTTAAAATAAGATATAAGTCTTATAGCCCTGTTCCCAGTAAACATGCAGAGGTGTAAATTGAGAATGTAAAGTGGGAGAGTAAGTCCATTTTTCTCTTTCCACATTTAATTTATCTTATCCCTGGTGGATCATAGTTAATTTTTCGTTCTGTGAAGGATATCCCCAAACTTTGTTTGTTTGGATAATGCTGTACCATGTTTAATGTGGTCTGAATGTGAACAATTTGGTTTGTTCGAAATGAAGTATGACTTAAGTTGTTAAAATTTGTAAGCCATGGTTAATGGTTTACTGTAATATGGGAATATATCCAATGCCTGGATGTGCAACAGTTTAATAAATAAACTATTTAATTTATTAAATTTATATCTCATCTTTATTTTGTACAACTCCTACTCAGCCTCTTTTTGTGTCTACTGGAGGACTAAAACTCTAAAACAATCACTCTGTTACTAGACCAGTATCTTAACCTCCCACACCAGACTGACGTTTTTGCCTTAAAAACATCAATTTACTATATAGATCAAATGAAGCAGTTACATAATTGTTGATTTTATTTTCAATTTCTAAAACTTTACTAACAACAACATGCTAGTAACACATAAGTGAAAAACCTCTGATGCCAATCTGAAAATGCTTGGTTGAACCTCAGTTTTAGGGTAATATTAAAGCACTGAGTTCTTAGGATTTACGTTTGTCAGTTTCATTCATTGTGGTTTATAAAACTAATGTGATAATTCCTGGTATTATTTGGGGAAAAAAGATACAAACATTTGGTCATTTATCCACTCTATAAACACACTCTCAGCTTGCATAAACAAGTGTAGGAATAAAATGTCCTTATTCGTAAGTATTCTGGTATTCTCTCCAGGAAGTTTGAAAAAATTGGGTTAACAATTTTATTAACAAAACAAGGTTTTGCAGAAGTTGCTATGTTTGATTATGGCAGCTGTTAAACATCCCTTGAACATCCGGAGAGGAAAGTTTGCATACAACTCCAGTTTTCTCCCTTATAAATGCCAATGTCCCATCACAGCTCTTTTCAAAGGTAAATGTTTTGGTCTGTGTATGTTCAATTGGCAATAGATTCAAAAGAAGAAAGATCATTTCAGTGATTGGCAGCTGTTCTGCTGTTTACTTCTTGGAGTGATGTCCGCATAGTGTTCATGAAGTCTATTTTTAGATTGGAAGGGATTATATTGCAGTCATGGATCATACCTGAAAATATTTTTTGTCTTTCACAATCCTTTCCTTTGTACATAAGAATGTACAGACAGTATATACACATATTTGTATGGAATAGATCTGTGTGCACTTTCTGGTGAAGAGAACAGACTGCAATTTAGAATTAAAACAATATTGGCACAAATAATTATAAAATAAACAATTATTGTAAGAGACAGCTGGAATCAGCTTTGAAAATAGTTACTATAGGTTAACCTGCAAAAAAGTGCAGGTGTTTTAGTAGTCCAAAGAGAGGTACTTTCATAGTCCCACAGATTCAAAAGGCCACTTTTTGTGCAGATCTGGTACATCCCATGGCCTGTGAATGGAACAGGATAAAGCTTTCCTCCACCCACCCCTGGCCAGATTTTGGTGTATCTGCAGAAAAGCTTTTTTTCCAGGGCGCTGCTCTGGAGAGTCCAAGCAAGGGTTAAATACAGCCAATCTGCCCAGAACTGAATTGAAACTTTAANAGAGTCCAAGCAAGGGTTAAATACAGCCAATCTGCCCAGAACTGAATTGAAACTTTAATCCATGCCTCTGGTGCTGATTATCTTCAGTTTTTTTCAATTCAGCTAGCCCAGTGGATGCGCTTTCGAGTTTCTCTCCAATTCTACAGATTGCTTGCTTCTACAGTTAAAAGTAGGGAAAATTCCCTTAATGTGTTCTTCTCGAGCAGGCTTGGTGAGGGAAAATTCTTTTCAATTTGGCTGTTTGCTCACCCTTTCAGTCCTCCTGGTGTCCTGGGTTTGCTCAGGCCCTGTAGGGCCACAGGCAGCTGTCGTGGGAGGCGCGTGGGTCGGAGTGGCAACGCCAACGCTGTCGCAGCACCCCTGCTGCGGTGGAAATCCACACTGAAGGCTCCATTGCCGCCATCTGCGCTTTGCAGAAGCCGGCGTTCGGCGCGGATCTTCAGGGCTCCTATCTAGTTCTGGCGGCAAATTTGAGTTGCGCAGTGGCCGATTTGGGACAGGAAGTTCTGTCTGCCATTTTGTTTTTTTCGGTTTCGTTTCTGAGCACGTTGCCACAGCTGGCTCCTTCTCCGGTCTGATCGGCGATTTGACTCCTACTCTAACGAGACCACCAGATTAGTGTAGCAAAGGATCGTGGCTTATCAGGTCGCCTCCTTACCTGATCTGCAAGGTGCTGGGAGCTGCTAATGCTCACCCCACATTCCTGCTTGGCTGGATCTGATCTCAGTGATCTGTGTCTCTCTTCTGAGCACTTGGGGCTGCTGTCAGAAACTGTAAAGGTGGTGAATGGAGGTAGTCCCTGCCTGTCTCAGTTAGACTCCAACCTTTCAGCCATGGCGGATCAGATCCCTGAGAACTCAGAGCAGATTGGGCCCTCTTCCAGAGCCTTTTTCCAGGCAAGCCAGCAAACCCTATTCTAGACTCGGACACAAACATGGATCAGGCCCGGATAAGGATGCCATACGACGTCAGAAGGCCTTAGAAGGCACTTTTCCAAGGCTCAGCAGCAGGTCCAAACCTCCCAATGGGTGTCTCCAGTGGAGCCCTCCAAGGAAGTTCAGCCAGATCAGAGGCAACCCGTCTCTGATAGTGATGAGGAGGGCCAAGAGTTTTCTCCCACTGCTTCCCTTGCCATGGCGGCTTCTCCAGGTCCTTCACCTGTCCTTCAGACCTGGAGGAAGGGCCCGCTCTCCAGCAGCCGGCCCTCTGACCCATTCCAGGAGTTCAACCCATTAAGGATCAGGGCCCCAACCTTTCAGCAGTAATGCAGGAGGTCATTAACAAGTTATATCGCAGGGCATAGAGGTGGGCATGCTGCAGCAAGGCAAGCGCCCGCACAAGACCCGACATCTCAAGCCCCAAGATACTCCCAGAGAAGCGCCCTTCACCCAGCCTTCTCAGTCTCCGCATTCCTCTCTGGCCAGTGAGGATTTTAACTGGGAGGAAGAGGACATCCTACCTGAGTTTCTTGGGGATGAAGGGGTTGCATCCGAAAAGCCTGTCTTTTCTGGCTTATTTAAGCTTGCCAACTTCAAAACCATCTTGAATAAGACAAAGGTCTTGACCCACTTGGGGTTTACCCCCCCCCCCCACTAGATCAGGCGACTAATGATCCAGACGACCTGTCTGGGGACCTCTTTGAGGAGCCTGTGTCGGCCCAGGAGATAATGCCAGTCCCCAAGCTCTTTCTGAATGTGGTTCAAAAGCAATGGGCACAACCAGCCACCCTTGCTACTCCCAGTAGCAATGATAAGAGGTTGTACATGGTAGACGCCAGTCTAGAGGACTTGTTTAAATTACCCTCCATTGATCCTCCTGTGGCAGCCCTTACCTCATCCTCTGTCCCCCCCCCCAATTGGCGGGAGGGCCTAAAAGCAGAGGATAAGAAAACAGAGAACGCCTGCCACAAAATGCACCAGGTGGCGGCTTGGGCAATTAAAATGTCCGCCTC